TTTTACCTTCAAGAATATATATATATATATTCATATGTGTATATATATTCATATGAATATATATACATATGAATTTAATTCCTATATTTATCACTTACTAAAGGTAAGTGGGAACCCTGGGCAAGTGTTCTCGCTTCTCAGCCTCAGTTTTCATAACCAAGCCCACCTATTTCACAGAGCTCTTGTGAGGAGTGTGTGAGTTAACCCCAGGAGAACAGTCCCTGGCACACGATGCACATTCAGTGAATGTGTAGCTAACAGTAATTTAATCAAATGGGTACTAGAAAAATATGAGGGCTAGCATAGTAACAGGTCACACTTCCTAAAGAAGTTCATGACCTGTTCATTCATTCATCACCAAACCCAAGTAACCAAGCAGAAGGCACTATATAAGACAGGGACAGCACAGGGATAAACAAACATGGCCCTAGACTTTGAAAGTTCAAAATCTGATGGAGGAGACAGACATGTAAACAACAGTCGGAACGTGTAAACAGTATGGAAAACTCAGACTCCGCTCAGGGGGGAAGAGACCCGGCAGAGGCACCAGCATGTGACCTGAGTTCTGACATAAGAAAAACGCTACCATCCTCAACTCTCTGGAGCTACTACAATCGTTTCTGGAATGATGATCCTGCTTCTACCATTGCCCCCTTATAATCTATGCTTCACATAGCAACCAAAGTGATTTTTTAAAAACATATAATATTCTCTTGCTTCACATCCTGCAATAGCACCTCACTGCACTGAGAACAAAACCCAACTGAGCTCGCTGTCAGGACCCCGAAGACTATAATGGAGCTCTGCCCGCTGCTTTCCCCCTGCACTGACCTTCCTGTCCCGTGAACACCACATTCACTGCTTCCTGAAGCCTCGCTGAGCTTCTCGCTGGCTAACATGCCATTGCTCAGACCTTCAGAGCTCTTCAAAGAACCCTTTCCAAATTTTCTAATCAAAGTTAGCTTCTTCCCTTCCTAAATTGCTATCATATTACCCTGTTTTCCCAAAACATTTACTATAATCTAAAACTGTCTTATATGTATGCTTATTGACCCATTTATGGACAACATCTATCATTAAAATGTAAGTTCCTTGTGAGTTGCATTTTATTTTATTAAATTACTGCATCTATCTGGTTCACTTGAATAACAGAACACCACAATGCCCACCCCAAAGGCTAGATGAATGTGCCAATCCACCACATCCAACGGCCTCAGTCAGCTTTTTTAAAGGTGCCATTCATTCATCCATCCAGAGAGCACTGAGTTTTACACAGTGATCACCTTGAGTGATATCTCCTAACATGCTATCCCTACTATACAGCTATCGCCACATTCTAAATCCAAAGGAGACATTCACAACACACTGGGTGTTTCCTAGCACCCAGAGACAGACACCAGATGTCTAAAAGATAAGAAAAGGTACAGAGGAAGCTACTTCCTCAGGAAGCCGTTAGGAGGCCCTGGGCCCTCAGATAGCGCATCAGCCACTAAAGACCACAGCACAGTGACACCATCAGACCGGCACTGCCAGCAGCCAGCCCACCGCATGGCCAGAACCTCTAGCCCTAGGAACTGCAAGAGACACCAAAGAACAATCATGTGAAACACTAAGTGCTTCTGACTTCCTCAATTTATGATTTCTAATTTCATTTTGCTCTTCTGACTTGCCTTTTATGTTGGCAAGTGTGAGAACAAGTAGTGACTGTACAGCCATGATCATTATCTTCAGTTTTGGGGTAAGAGCCTGAGATATTGAAAAAGCCAAGCCAATGAGAGCTAACTGGGCCCTCTTTTGTCACAAAGGTCTTTAACCAAAGGATTCCATGAACTGAAAATGCATATGTGGCATATTACAAAGTCACAAAATCCATTATAGATAGGCTCTTAACTAGAATTTAAATTCAATCATGCAATTATGTAGTTCTAAAACTAGAACGATGCCAAATGGTTTCACTATGTAAGTGCTACGTTGGAATGTGATTTCTGCCATTGTTGTTCACCACCGAGGAACAGCGACACCCTGGGATGGGGAATTAGAAAGAACAGTTAATGCTAACAAGGCATGATACTCCAGCCCTTCTTGCACTGATAGCTTCTCATCTAACCTTTTATTTATCCTACAGTTAATGAGATGCTACCACTATGCTAGGAGGTACAAAAGAAAATTAATCCCTGTAATAAATCCCTCGAAGAATTTCTAATCTAGCAGGGTAGAAAAAAGCAAATTCACAAAAGCTATAAAATAAGGCACTCTCAACTAAAGCTTAGAAGATGGACAGACAGCCTTCTGGATGAAGGCTCCAAGACTCTTTCCTGAAGAAGGTAACAGTGACCTAGAAGATGGGTGGATCCTGTCAGTAGACAGAGGCCATTATAGGTAGAAGAGATAAGTAGGGGGTACAGAGAGAAGAATGTGTACTCAAGGGACAACAACGTCATAGTCTCAGGCACAGACAGGTAACTGTCTCTTCAACTAGACTTGAACTCAAGGAGAGAACTTTTCTTCTCTCCCCATATTACCTAAGACCCAATTCTCTATATGTGGTAGAGTCTAAATCATACTTAATAAACAAGAAAATCAATCTAGAGAGAAAAATCAGATCTATTCAATTTACTTTGAAGTTGCTGCTGTTATGGGTGTTCTCGGGTTTTCCTAACCATTTGGGTCATGGCGGAACTCTGCATGGTAGAAGTCCTTGGTTAGGGGCAGACGCTTGTGTTATCTCACTAACAACGTGGGAGCAGTTGAAGACAGAGCACGTGTCCAGAATTGGGGAGGAGTGGCACCTATATGTGTGTGAATCTTCAAATTTGGAAAGTTTTGGAAAGTTGTTGGGCCCAACACCTTGTGGATACTTTAAAAAAGTGAGAAAATTGATCTATAAATCAATTCTAGCATGCTATAATCCCAAAATACACAGTTAATACCCTTGTAATAGAATTCCAAAAAAGCTCTCTGTACCTAGAAATAAACTTGTTTTCTATTTTCATTTTTAGAAATATAGCCAGAAAAATGTAAACATTATTTTTAAATGATCATGGTGGAATTTGCTGCATGGTATTGTAAAAGAAAAACCATACTGTATTAGGAGTCAAGAGATCTAGTTCTGTTCTGCCACTCCCTGGCTGCAAAACTGCAGGCGAGGAGCTTAACCTTCCTGAGCTTCCAAATGGAGGAGAGCCCGGTCAGTGGAGGGGGCCACACGCCCAATCCGCTCAGATGCTCTTCTGGCATCAACCTGCCCCACACTTTCTGCACCCGCAGTGGTGGGGGGAGGGGGGCATTGCTGGTAAAATGAGGCTCTTCTCCACAACTTTTTTGTTCGTTCTATTTTATGATGTCGTCTTTAGGTCTGAGGATAAAATCTTGAGAAAAGCAACTTCTTAAGTGAGTTCAGCAACACACAGGTTCCAAATATCATTTTAAAAGCATTAGTCATTAGCAAAATATAATTAGCAAATGATTAAGAACTAGAGTATATCAATATCTATAACTAGCCACCACAAGTCCCTTGGAAATGATGTATAAACACTTTTATAAATGGGCACATAGGCTTCCACGTACACACACCCCGTCTAAGGATTACCATAAAGACAAAAGGACAGGTATGAGGAACTCTAATCAGCGATCCAAAGTCCACTACTTTAAATGCAATGGCACCTGTAGCTATAAGCTTCAAATTCACATTAGTGTGAATTTCATGTTTGCACTTTATCAAGGACACATGTCTAGTAAACACACTAACTGTCTGACTCCTACATACTAACACTGAGAGATTTATTTAGGCTCGGACATGGCTATCCTTCACAGAGCACTACTAAGGTTCTTCCCTGATGCAGATATCTGGTTCTCTTCGGTGTTCAGATATTTTATTTTTATAACTCTGTACTGTCCTTAAAACAGATACTCAGGCATACTGGTATACTCAGACTAATATTCACATACCCATAGAAACCTACACTAAGTAAATATCCAAGAAGACATATGACTAATGTGGGCAGGAGAAAAGGAAAGGGAGGGCATTTAATTTATAAACAATTATGTTTATAAACCATTGAGGCCACTTAAACCTGACCACTATAGATAAAAACCTAGCCATTAAACAATATCCATTTTGAGAGTTTATTGTGCATTTTGTTTTATTTTCCCCTCTATTCTAGTCCACCGCTGCCAACAATAGCAACCAGATGACGTGTAGAGTTTCTTTCGGCTCTCAATACTTGTGATCTGCAAATTAAAGATCTCCGATGATTAACACACTCTCTTGTCAGCATGACCTAAAAGCAAGCAGACTAGTCCTAAAATAAGGTCTGTTTTTGTATAAGTGGGATTGGAAAAAAAAAAAAGTTGGGCAACTTTAATGTATCAAATGTGAATTAGTCTGTAATCCAATGCTGATGTTAATTTTTAAGAATAAAGGTAAAGTAAGCAGCTTACTAGAATGCATAAAGAGAAATGTCGCTTGAGGAAACAGAGTTAAATGTGAAATCAGAAGTAAATTGGGTCTGCCCGATGAGCCGCTCATTGACCTTGCCTTATAACCACCAATCAAGGCTTCCTGTTAGCCCTGGGCAATTTTCAAGAAAACTTAATGAAATAGTTATACATAAAAGAAATTTAAGCCCAAATCTGAGACGGTAACTCTAATTTTCTAATAGTGAGGGTGTGATGTTTCCCCGGCACCACCTGGACACAGTACAGAAACTTGTAACAAACATTCTCCCGGAGAACATAGTCATTACCATTCCACCAGCGTGCAGACTGACGTGGCTACCGAATCCAGCATCAGTAGAAACTTTACCCACATTTCATCCCAAAGTTATTGAATACTGGAATTGTTTTTATAAACAAGAAGGTCAGTGTCTTCAAGTCTTGATTCTGTAATAATCAGCCATTTCACTGGTCCAGGAGTTTTGAAGTGAACACGTCTCATCTGGTAGCCCCTCACCCCCATCCTGCCAGAGTCTGTGCAAGTGAAACCTAGGAGTCTGTCTTACCTGTAATCTGACTCTGTCCTTGTGGATTAAAAGGACTTGGTGCAGAGTTCAGGGAGGGCCGTGGGTTCTGAGGCGGGACACCTACTCTCATACTGGGATGAGGAATGCGCCCTAAATCACTGAGGCGGTCAGAGAACAAACTAGGTTTAGAGTCATCAAGCTTCTGTCTGTGCCCTGGAAACAGCAAATCATAAAATAAAAGCATATTAATTAGCTGAACAATTGACCATGCTAAATAGATATGTGAACATACAAACCGGGGGGGTTTAAGCCAAGGGATTATCAAAATGGGTATTCATAATGAAGTGTCTACATAAAGCCTTCCATTTCAAATTGCTTTATAAGCATCATCTAGTGGCAAGCATTCCTAGTTCTATACTCTAAATGGGGAGCTGAGGGTCCCAGAGGGCAACTCAGAGTCCAGCACTGGCAGCGAGGCCAGGATGCTGGAGCTTAAGAGGAACTCCCTGGGTGCCTCCTCTCCCCTTTTCAGAGAGGAAGGGAAAGCCAACTGTGCACTGGGGTGTGTTCTCTTGTTGCATGAAGGATGAAACCTCCCCTGAAAGTTCAGAGTCTGTGCCTGTGACACCTACCATCCCCAAGTTGGGGAGGAAACAGAGACACATTGTCAAAGAGAAACCCCCATGATGATGACAGTGACTTTTTCTTTTTTATGTTACACTGAATACCTTACTGAGACTCTCTACTGAAAAATTAAAACTCAACCCTAGAACCCCTTTAAGAGGAAGAAAAAAAAAAACAGGAGTATAGGCACAGAAACTCAAATTCTCAAGAGGAATTTTGTGATATGCCAAAGCCTGAAAGCATATAATAAACTATATTAAATCACAAAGAATGCATTTTTACTTAAAATCTAGTACTGTGGTTTTGTAAAAGAAACTGAAAAATACCCTTTGGGTTATCATGCGAATGTGAGAATCCATTATTTTTAAACAACTTTCTCTTCTAGTTTATTCAAGTCTAAAATCCAAGGACTTCTAGATGTTAAAAAGAAATATACAAATTAAAATATAACCAAGGTCCTAAGACTTCTTAAAAGTAATCAAATCATACTTAATCAATAGGACAATACTGTCTTGGTGCAACATGAGTTAAGTGGGAATCTGTACAGTTGTGATGCAGTGAGCCAGCCCAACAATGTCTAACACATACACAGAAATGCACTGTGGATTCCTTCTTCCATGTTCCTTAGTCCTTCTTCCACACACCACTATGGCCTAGTATGTTGCGCCACCATTTTAGGAAAATGTTAAGTGACTGAAGCTGATTTAAAGAGCCATTAAGAAGACTGGAATAAGAATTTGCCTTTTCATTAAGCAAATGAGGATTAATCTGCATAAAAGACAAAAACTAACATTGAAGAAGGATCGTTAAGAACCTTCAAGAATGAGAAGGTATATTCCAAGGGCAGCAAGAACACCTCATCTCCCACTTAGTATAGGACAAGAGGAATATCAGGATAGGGTTAAGTTGAACATTAGAATTTCCCAACTATAAGCTGTCTTCATAAGACAAATTCCTTATTTTATTTGCCCCAAAATGTATTTTCCTGTCTCCTTTTTCATTGCCTACCCAGCCCAAAGAAAACAGACAGGAAGCCAAGGCTTGGTAATATGAGTGTAGCTGTCTCCACAGCCAAACATGTTCCAACTGGACCCATTAACTGAAACGCACCCACCACCCTATTTCCTGCCAGTGCGAGTTTGGGGCATCTGCTGAAACAGAGGGACTAAGATCAGGAGGAAAATGATCAGAAAAAAATGGGGTAACTCATTGTTTGTTGATGGCTGTTTTTTCCACCACTTATGACTTTTATCTAGATTACAAAGGTAGTTCAGAACTCTTAAGAACCTTTAGAGAATACCCCAAACAGCTCCTAGACCCTGGCAAGTAATTTGTTCACAGATGAAGCGACTGAGCCCCCACAGAGGTAAAACAACCCCTCAGTCCTTGGGTATGGCTAGCTCGTCCTGGACTGTGACATGGTTCTTGTCTTGGTTGACTAAGCTGTCCACTCATCATGTGGTCCTATCAACGCTGGCATTCTAGCTTTCTCTCCCCTCCCTCTCCCAGCTGCTACAGAAGGCTGAAAAATACCCAGATCGACAAAACAAGATACCTAAGAACTAAGCCCTGTGAAGTGTCAAGGCCGGTTTTCAAAGCGAGTAGAAGCAGCAGCAAGGATTCAATTACAAAGTTAATAGCTCACCCATTACCCTAAACAAACTTCCATCAATACATCTTGCTGTGTCTAACTAGTTTCACGATTAGGGAATTATATAGGACTTGTCACAGTTAAATCTGTGGATTCTGTTCCTCGCACACATACAAAAAAAGTATTGGTGTGATGTTGATACAGCTGTAAACATTAACAAGAAAGCTTATGGAATTGTCCCTGGAAGTTATTTTTTTTAATAGGCCATATTTTTGGAATGGCAGATTCCCTGAGGGCTAAGGGGAGGGCTACATGATCTTGCATGGTTCCTTTATTCAGTGGGACTTTATGTGGGCCATGGGTCACAAGAAAATTTAATAAGCTTTGCCTCTGCTTTCTACAGCCTTTTCATTAGGTTTTCAGGGAGACTGTGTGAGATTGGAGCTCAGCATATGGATGTGTGAGTACACTTTTATTTTCTCTCAGCCCTGTGCTTCAGAGGAGCAACAGAAGGCATAGAGGCAAAAAATAAGGGACTGGAGAAGTGCTGATGAGGGTGAAAAATTAAAGAGCAGATGAAATTTTAAGAGCCTCAATGACCTTTTGGGAATTACCTTCGCAGAAGAGCTACCAAGCATCTCCACACACCCTAGAGAGATTCAGCGTACATCTATCTGTGGTTGCACACATACAAAAACACGCATTCCTCCTTGCAGACTTTTGCCCCTGCACAGCCACCACCACAACCACAACAAAATTCGTACAGCACAACGAACAACAAAAGCTGATCAGGTTCTTTGTCTTTCAAGCATGACAAAGACCCACTACCACTAAACCACATCAGGGTAACACCTGAATGATTGGCTGAAAGAAGATGTACTTAAATCCTCAGCGCCCAAGCAATCCCCTCAGAAATCAAGACCAAGGAAGACACGGGGCACACAGACTTAAACCAAAGATAGGGTACTCCACTGTGGTGCAGGGAGAACTAAACCTCAGCCGAAGAGCCAAGGACTGGGTCTTCCCAGCACAATAATAGTATCAGTAAGAGTGGAAACCTCTTGTGTTACATTAAGACTATGTAAAAGCTCGGTCCTGGATGCCCTTCTGTAGGTGCACTTTCTCCCTTGCACAGTGGCTCTTCCATCCTGGCTGGATTAAAAAAAAAAAAAAAACAAAAAAACCAAATACAAAACTCTCTAGGGAGCTTTGAAAAACTCGAGTGTCCAGGCCCCACCAACCTGGGTTCAATTAAATCAGAATCTCTGGGAGTAGATCAGGTGGACAGCTGAGGTAGAGAACCATTGCCCGCCAGGGTCTCAGTCCCGTGCTCTCAATGCCACCATTCACACCAATGACTCCACCACTTCTGGATGAGCCCTGACCTCTGCCCTGAGCTCAGATTTGTGTATCTCACTGCCTACTTGATTTTCCCCTGGGATGTCTCAAAGCTCTCTTAAATGCAGTACAGTTAAGGCTAAATTCTTTATTCTTCTATCCAAAGAAACCAAACCCACTCCTCCCTAGGAGTCCCCCATCTCAAGTAAATGGCACTAACCACTCAATTACTTTAGACAAATATCTAGACATTTCCTCAATTTCTCCTTAACCCTCATTCCCCACATCCAATCCATTACTGAGTCTTATCATTTCCATCCTGAAAGCATATCTTGAATCTACTCAGTTCTCTCATTTCTAATAGTACAACCCTAGTCCAGGGACCCTTTCTCTCTCTCTGGTCATCAGACACTGTCTCCTTCTAGTTTCTTATCCCAGAACCTCTCCATATTCCTGAGCTGCTCTCCCCTGATCATCTGCATAGCCGGCCTCCTTCTCTTCCCTTCGGCCTCAGGGCGAACCCCACCTCCGATGAGAGACCTTGCCTGCCTACACCCAGAGTGGGTTTCCTCCCTCTCAAGCACACCCTCTATTTATTTCCTGTATGGCTGTTACCACCATCTGTAATTAGCTTGTGTATTTCTTTGCCCCACATGAGAGACTCTAAGTCCATGAGAATGAGCACCCTGTTTAGTTTACAGCTGTTTCCTCACAACCTAGTTCATCGCCTGCACATCAGTAGGTGCTCAACAAATAGTTATATAATAAATGAATAAATAAATATTTTTCTTTTTTAGATAAATGTCTTGGTTGAAAGCAATATTTCTGGCCCAGAATATCAGATTACAACACTTTACAAAGAAATATTTCTGGCCCAGAATATCAGATTAAGAGTTTCCCTCAGAAACTCTTCTCTTCTTATTTGGAAATCTAGTGAATCCGTGGGCAAAGCCTTTCTTTGGAGACTGGCCCTTGTCAGTACTTCCTAAGAAACTTTCCTGAAGGGCATTCAAGGAGAAGTATGCTTTCTCTCTGAAAAAGTCCCGTTTGCTCTCACTATACCTCTTAAGCACTGTGGCAAGTCATTTTGAATCGCAGAGGTAAAAATGACAACAGAAATGATTTAGCCTCTAAAATTTAGAGCAATGTACTGCTTTTAGAGGTGAAGACCCTGAGTCCCTGAGAGGGGAAGTGACTCATCCAAAGTCACATAGTCAGTGGCAAGATCAGAACTCAGGTTTGCTGACTGTGGTCCTGGACTCTTTTCCCTCCCATTGCCAACAAGCTTGTTTTAGATTATAACAGTGTAGTTATCAGTCATTCAGTGGAAATAACGATCAAAAGTAAATTTGAAATGGAAAAAAAAAGTTTTCAAAACAGATTTTTCTTCAAAAAGCTGAGTGTGTTTGGCTGAATGTGACTTTTGTTGCAATAAATTCAGGGGCACAAGAAGAAAGCATGATCCAAAGGTCACAGCATTCACACGTCCTTAGAGCGAAGGCCCATGAGGAACTGCTACGCCATTAAGCAACAGTCCATCTAATTGTCCCATTCTTCCCCACCCAGCTCTCTTAGTCCAAGAGCAACTACCTCACAATGAAAGTCAGTCATGCTGTCATTAGAACTCCCGCTTAAAAAAAATCATACATCTGAAACTGGC